TGGTTCCCGCTCTCAGTTGACTCGTGAGGTTCATGTCGTCCATTAGATCTAAGAGCTCGGTTGCTTCGCGGTCCGGCGCTCGGATATCGCTGCCTCCCCACAGCTCATGGTGTAGGTTGAAGTCACCGACGACGATTTGCTCGACGTGCTGGTGGGTTTCCAGTGTTGTTCGTAGCTGCTGTAGGACCGGCTGTCGATCTTCCTCCCGCGGTGACGGGTTGTACACATTATGTAGCACCAGGCTTGTTTCGGTATCGTCATCTGTTGCGATAACCAGAGTGCAGAGATCTCTGCTAACCTCCCTAAACTGCCAACGAGAGTGGTCGAGCTTCTTGTTGATGAAGAAGCAGACCCTGGCCGGGCCATTTTCCTCGCTCGAGGGGTAGCACAGGTGGAACCGATCCTTGGCCGGATGGTGCGTCGTTGCGCTGTAGGGGTTCCTCCATGGTTCCTGAATAGCAATGATGTCGTAATTATCGATGTTCGGGTCACGGAGAAGTGTCGCCATGACGGTGTCCTTCGATTTTCTTACGTTGTACTGTAGTATTGTGAGTGTATGTTGTGCGTTCATTCGCTATCGTCGACGACGATCTCCATCGCTGTGCTGTTGCTTATCGTCTGCGTGTCTGTCGTCTGCGTGTTGGGGTCGAGCGCCTCGAGCGCTCTTCGCGATCGGATGATTGTGCGTCTCGGACGCGTATTCTCTGCGGCTACGGTGATCGTCTCCTCCGATTCCTGGGTTGCTGTCGGGTTAGGCCTCTTCTGGATCTTCTTCGTTGGGGACCGGCTCCGGCTCGGGCGATTCTCCTGGGATTGTCCTGGTTCCAGTGGCGGCCCTGCGATTCTCGGGTTCGGCCTGGTCCGAGTTTCCGATCCTAGGGCCGGCGACGGGGCCGTCTGTTCCGGATGGTACCTCGACCGTAGGCCGTAGGCGGCCTTGATCTTGGCCTTCTCGCGTATCCTGGTGGGGCATCCGCCGTGCCATGCCTCGTGTTCGCCGTAGCATGCGGCGCATTTCCTTGGGGTCGTCGTGTCGCTTTTCGAGGGGCAATCTCGGGTCGCGTGTTCTTGCGCACAGTAGCCGCATGTTGTCGTTGCCTTGCATTGGGTTCCTATGTGGCCGTATGCGCAGCACTTGAAACACTGTCTCAGACGGCACTGTCTATCGTATCGCTCGCATTGGAACACCTGGCCTTGCCAGATGAGTCCCTCGTCGATCAGTTTGCTGGCGT